TCGTCGCGCCCGTGGCTCCCGAGCCGCCGCGCCGCTCCCGCCGGATCGCCGAGGAGGCGCTCGAGGCGGCGCTGAAAAAAGCGGAACGGGCCGCGGTCGAGGCCGTTGGTCGCGGACGCGAGGCTGGCTTTGTCGAGCGGACAGGCCGCGCGCGAGCGCGAGCTCGCCGAGACCGAGGCGCGTTCCCGGCCGCCCTGGCCGACGCGGAGGCCGCCCGTCGAGGCTGACCAGTGGACCGCCATCGACGACGTGCCTGCCGAGGCCCTCGCCGCGTCCGAGTTCGCGCTCTGCCGGGTGCCCCACAAGAGCCTCGTCGAGCCCTGGGCCGCGGCGGTCGCCGACGTCCACGCGAGGTTCCTGGCGGAGCAGGATCAAGGACAGGAGCGGCGCGACCGCGCGCTCCTGTGGATCCTCGCTCTGCCGCAGCTATTATGGCGAAAGCCGTGGTACTCCAAGCGCGGGCCCGTCAAGGCCGGCGTGGATTATCACGCGCGGTTTGACCTTTTTCGCCAGGGCCGGCTCTCTGAGCTAGTGTCCTGGTGGAAGAAGGACCGCAGCCGCCTGCGGGCCCGGCTCCGCCTGGACTCGGGCGCCGCGCCGCCGCGCTCGGAGGCGGCCGTCGTCGTGCGCGCGCGGCGGCTCATCGCCGCCGGCGAGCTCGCCCGTGCCGCCGCGTGTCTGTCGAGTGACGGCACCGGCGACCTCCGCGACGACGGCGTCGTCGAGGCGCTCCGGGCTAAACACCCGGAGCGGAAGGCGACGCTGCGCGCCCGCGACGTCGAGCCTGCGGGCTTCGTCGGCGTCGCGCGTAGTGAGGTCGACCTCATCGGCAAACTCCGGCGTCTGCCCCGCCACGTCGGCGTGGGGCCCGACGGCGTCTCCAACGAGCTCCTCGCCGCGCTCGACCGGTTCCACTTCGACGCCGGCGCGGCGCGCGTGATGCCGCTGCTGAACGAGTTCTGCACCCTCGAGGTCAACGGCGACCTCCCGCCCTGGTGGTACGCCGCGGTGACGCTCATCAAGCTCGTCGCCCTGTTGAAGGACGGCGGCGCCGGCGTGCGGCCGATCGCCGTCGGCAACGCGCAGCGCCGCGCGATCACGCGCAGCATCGTCGCGGGCCTCCGCGAGACGGCCGCGCGCGTCCTCTCTCCGGTCCAGCTCGGGAGCGGCGTGCGCGACGGCGCCGCCTGCTACGCGGCCGCGGCGCGCCTGGCGCTCGAGTCCGCAGCCGCGTACAACGCGGAGCACAAGGACGACGAGACCTTCGTGCCGCGCGGCGTCTTCTCGCTCGACAAGAAGAACGCCTTCAACGAGCTGAGCCGCGCTTCGATTGTCGCCAGCCTCCGCGTGCTTCCCGGCTTTGGCGGCATCGCGCGCTACGCGGCGCTCATGTTGGCCCCGGAGAGCTCCATCGTCCTGAGCCTGCCCGGCGCCCCGTTGGCTCCGTTCCGGAGCTGCGAGGGCTGGCAGCAGGGCGACGCCATGGGCGCCCTCGGCTACGGCGCCGCGACGTACGCCCGGTCGGCGACGCTCGTCAACGCCGCGCGCGACGCCGGCGGCTCCGCCGCGTTCTTCGCGGACGACGCCTGGCTCGAGGCGCCCGTCGACACGGGCCTCGCGCTCGTCGCCGCGTACGGCGCCGCGATCGCGCCGGACGGCGAGGTCCTCCAGGAGCGCAAGTGCAGCGTCCTCGTCCCGGGCCTCACCGCGCTCGAGGTCGCGGCGCTCCCCGCGCTCCGCGCGCACGCCACGTGCGAGATCGAGGAGGCGGGCGGCGCGCTCGTCACGCGCCTCGCCAGCATCCGCGTCGTCGACGACGAGGGCCTCGTCGTCTGCGGCGTCC